CGAGAGTCTTGGTGTAGCGGTTGTGCCAGCCGTGAAAGGAGTAGAAGAACAACGCGCTTACAAGATTCTAGAAGAAACTACGAGACGGTTAGACTGTGGGAAGTACGAAACAGGCCTGCTCTGGAAGCATGACTATGTAGAGTTTCCAGACAGCAGGTCTATGGCTGAACGACGCTTCAAGTGTCTTGAAAAACGTTTGGCACGGAATCCAGACCTGTACGACAGCGTCCGTCGACAAATATCCGACTTCAAAGCCAAGGGCTACATACGCGAAGCAACGAAGGAGGAACTCGAAGAATTCGACCTGCGGCGCACATGGTTCTTGCCGATTGGAGTGGTGGTCAACCGCAGCAGCGAAGGTGGAAGGCGTATCGTTGAACTCAATGCTGCTCAAAGGTCCGGATCTTTTGACGCCGTTATTGTCCGTAATGTTTCCGTACCGGGAACGCCAAGTCGCAGTATCAGCAGACGTCAAGGAGGTGTTCCTGCAAATGTTGATTAGAAAACAGGACGGCAGCGCTTTGCTGTTCCCCTACAGGGACTCCCCCGAGGTACCGATGAGCATCTTGGTCTCCGATGTAGCAATATTCGGAGCGGCCTGCTCCCCAACGCACTCGCAGTACATTAAGAATATGAACGCATCAGAGCACGAACTGGAGCTACCAAGAGGAGCAGCGGCAGTGAAGAAGAGACACTATGTGGATGACTACGTGGACAGTTTCGATACAGCGGAAGAAGCGTTCGAGGTTGCCAAGGAAGTGATCGAAGTGCACAGAAGAGCTGGATTCCATATCCGAAATTGGATGTCAAGCAACAGGACCGTACTGAGCAAGTTAGGAGAGGAGAACCTGAAGAAACCGAAAGTCGTGTTACCGGATAAGGAGGTTAGATTCGAGCGAGTGCTGGGAATGGCGTGGTTGCAAGAAGAGGACGTCTTCGTATTTTCGCTGCAATTTGGTGAGAAAGTGCGAAAGCTGGTAGACGGTACTACGATTCCCACAAAACGGCAGATGCTACGACTCGTCATGAGTATATTTGACCCTTTGGGATTGGTGCCATCATTTGTAATCCACAGGAAAATCCTAATTCAAGAAGTATGGCGGACGGACACGGATTGGGACGACAGGATTCCAATGGAGATCGCTACGCGCTGGATGGATTGGATAGAGGTACTCAAGAAGCTTGAAGGACTGCATATTCCTCGTTGCTACTTTCCGAACTACGATCCGGATAGTTTCAAATCTCTGGAGATTCACGTGTTTGTGGACGCTAACGAACAAGCCTTTGCAGCGGTTGGATACTTCCGCATAATAGACAACAGTCGTATCAGAGTCGCTTTAGTCTCGTCGAAGATGAAAGTGGCACCACTTCGAGGACTGTCGATACCACGGCTAGAATTGATGGCAGCGTTGCTGGGAGCTCGTTTGCGGAGAACTATTGAGCAAAATCATTCGTTGAAGATACGGAAAACCTGCTTTTGGAGTGACTCATCGACCGTCTGTTCGTGGATCAAATCGGATGTTCGACGATATCGCCAGTTCGTTGCCTTCAGGGTTAACGAAATACTGAACCTGTCGAGCGTTGACGAATGGCAGTGGATTTCGACTAAGGTCAATGTGGCTGACGAGGCCACCAAGTGGGGTAAAGGTCCCGCTTGCAATGTTGACAGTCGCTAGTTTCAGGGGCCTGACATCCTGTACAACGTCGAAACAGAATGGACGGTGGCTCCAGAAGAAGACACAGATGAAAGTGACAAGGAATTACGGGAGGCGTTCGTATGCAGCCATCTGGTCAGACAACTGGTGATAGACGCTGACAGATTTTCGAAATTCGAACGACTGTTGCGTTCTACAGCATATGTTCACCATTTCGTCTCTAGTCTGCATCCCTCGAGAAGTAGATCTACGGATACTGTAGGGATCACCAGTGTAGATTTGCAGAAGGCAGAAAGAACGTTATGGTCGAGTGCGCAATCTGAGGCATTTCCGGATGAAGTAGCGATCTTGAAGAAGAATCGAGAAGAAAATAATACACGTGGGAAGCAGTTAGGAACATCAAGCCATCTTGTGAAGCTGTCTCCATTCGCTGACGAGTACGGGGTGTTACGAGTAGGCAGTCGGGCTGCAGAAGCGCAGGTTCTATCCTACGATACGAAGTTTCCCATCATCCTACCAAGAAACCATCGCATTACGGTGTTGCTGTTGGATTACTATCACCGGAAATATGGTCACGCAAATGACGAAACCATAGTCAACGAGATGCGACAGAAGTTTTATGTGCCTCGGCTGCGAGTAGAGATACGGTTATCCAGGAAACGCTTATGTGGTGCCGCATACACAAAGCGATACCGGTTACTCTAAAAATGGGGCCATTACCAGCGGTACGATTGGAACCCTTTGTACGAACCTTCACCTATGTGGGCGTAGACCTCTTCGGCCCATATTTGGTGAAAGTTGGAAGAACCGTGGCGAAACGATGGGTCTGCCTTTTCACCTGTCTAACTATTAGGGCAATTCACCTCGAGGTGGTTGCCAGTCTATCAACCGATGCGTGCAAGAAGGCTGTAAGGAGGTTCATAGCACGACGGGGTGCGCCTCTGGTAATTTACTCCGACAACGGTACGAATTTTGTGGGAGCAAGCCGAGAGCTGATGGATGAAATCGACAAGATAAACAACGAATTGGGCAGTACTTTCACTAACGCTCACACACAGTGGAGGTTCAACCCTCCGGCCGCTCCTCACATGGGGGGCTGTTGGGAAAGAATGGTTCGCGCCGTGAAATCAGCACTAGGATCGGTTCCAGTAGTGCGGAAGTTAGATGACGAGTCTTTCGCTACGGTACTAACAGAAGCCGAAAGTATGGTCAATTCCAGACCATTTACATTCGTTCCTCTAGAAACAGCTGATTATGAATCCTTGACCCCCAATCATTTTTTGCTCCTGAGCTCAAACGGTGTGCGAGAACCGGAGAAGTTCCCGACGGATGCAGGAATGGCGTTGAGGAATAGTTGGAACTTGGTGAAACACACTCTTGACAACTTCTGGCGTCGATGGGTGGTTGAATACCTACCAACCATCATTCGACGGACAAAGTGGTTTCGAGCCGTACAACCGATCAAGGAAGGAGATCTTGTGCTCGTGGTTGACGAGAACGTTAGGAATCGGTGGTTACGAGGACGAGTAATTCGAACGATTCCGGGGAAGGATGGAGTGACTCGTCGAGCGGAAGTGCAGACATCAGGAGGGATGTTGAAGAGACCTGTTACGAAGTTGGCTGTGCTGGACGTGGCAAGTTCTGGTGACGCCCAACCGGAAGTTATGGCGACACGGGGGGGGGAGGATGTTCGTCGCAACAGCCCCTCGTACTGAGTAACACAAACGGTACCTAACGCGCGACCCACTACACCCAGCAGTGGTTCCGGGAAGCATGATCCGTCAAACGGAATGACGGGAGAAATTGTGAGAGAGTAAGAGAATGATAAACTGATAAGAGAAAGGAAAACAAATCGGACTATATAGTGAATTGGATGTAATCTATTATCATTGAATCGGTAAATTTATTGAACTAATAATAATAATGAAAAATTACACTTAAAACTAACTTACAGGCTTATATATATACATATATTAAAATTGTGAACTCTGTTGTGGATAAAAATAACATTGAAATTGGAGACTAAAATTGTAAGTTAAATCCTAAGTTTGGTACTGGAACCTATCCTAAAATTAAATATATTTATAGCTTGAAGCTGACAAACACTCACAAAAAAAGAGTTGTTTTTTGCTGGAAGAAACTCCATGGAATCTATCCCAACACCATCAGTGTGCAACCTTTCCTGTCACATTGCTCTTCTCCCCATCCTGCATGGTGAGAGTTCCAATCTCCTCCTACAATCACCCTTTTGTGGTGCTTCACACCGTCAAAAATACAAGTGATGTCTTCTTCAAATTATTTGATTGTGGCCGACGGACTAATGTATACCTGAAGATTTCATAAACTCTAGACCAACAATTGAAATAGGCGGAACAACCAAACGTAAATAATGGCTTTGAACGCCAATTTCTCGAGAATCAAAACACATCCAAGCAATCTAACACCAGCATCTGATAGAGCAGACTTCCTTTATCGATTGGCATTGTTATGCCGCGGATTCACTTGAATGGCAAACTATGAGCATGAGCATTTAATAGTGGGTCATACAAGTATATCCACGACATTAGCTTGCGCTATCAAATTGCTTGGATGTGTTTTGTTTCTCGAGAAATTTGCGTTTAAAGCCATTGTTTACGTTTGGGTGTTCGTTCCCCATATTTCAATTGCCGGTCTATAACTACCCTCGGAACTCCGCGTACTCTACAACACAACACAACGCATCACGAACCATTCGAAAAGCATCCATACATGACATTACTTTGCGTGTTTTCAATTTCAATTTCCACACGACTTAGAATTTTCAAAATGTTGACAACGCACCATAGGCAATATTATACGGGGCTAATACTAGCATAGCATAACAATCCAATCCTCTAAATAGATTGATCACACAAGCTCCTCCGAGTCCGGCACGGTACAAAGATGATTTCATACCTCTGAAGTAAATAAAAACAAAATAATTCAATATTTGCAACCACCAGCGAAACAACCGGCCCCGCAGCTTAATCCACACATACCACAACGAAGCCTTATCAGTTGTTTCGAGTTTCTTTCTTGTTGTAGGTACGAAATTTTATGTTTATTCTGCAAAAGCATATATCACGACCAACAACAGAAAAGGTCTCAGTCCCAGATTTTGTAAATAGAATATTACCTAACCTTATCCCACGAATCGAGACTCGCTCATCGTATAAGCGACAACATCGGTCAGTCGTCGCTTCCTTGCGTTCGGTCACCGAGAGCGAGTCTCGCTTTCGTGCTTATCATGGTACAATCATTTAAACAAAAATTATCTTCTACAAACCATTGTATTGAAACCATTCGTGTCTGTTTCTTTTTTTTCAGCATTCAAAGGCCCAAACAGACTGCAGCCGGCAGTCACTATCATGCTAGAACGCAGCGTCCTGCTGCTGCACCATCTACGCTTTCATCATCCATTCATCATTCCACCAGGAATGGTGAGCGCGTCGTCATCATCGGCTGCCGAGACGACACCGTTGCTAATTCAATCCACCCGTCGTCGTATCAGCTGTTTGTACGTTGATAAGCAATGAAGCATACAGTGTGAACCCAGTGTGAGAAAGTGAAGTACAACGTGAAAGTGTCCCGAAGAACTCGAATAAAGGAAACAAGTGACATGACCCGAATGCTAGGAACCGGGAATTAGAAATCCGTGTTGGCCTGTTTGTAAGACATTGAAATACTCTCTGTGATAGCGCGCAACTCTCGCGATGGCCCTCTCGATGATGGTTGCCTTCGTGGCCAGGAGCCTGCTGACCAACTACCATCTAGTCCTACTGCTCTCGGTCTTCCTGCTGACGAAAAGTGCCAGGGGCGATATTCTCGTCTATCAGCAAGATCAGGTTGGTTTCGTTCAATGGCAGCCTTGAACCTTCCGGTAGTAAAATGAAAGATTTTCAACTTATCAAATACCGATAATCCGAATGTTGTTCCCGTTTTCTGTTTATATTTGCACGTGCGCATACTGATTTACAACTATACCTACACCTATCGTACAAGTAAATAACATACGTTCCTACAATATATTGCAGCTGCTGGAGGAGTTTCGTGACTTCCCGGCCAAGTTCGGGAGCGACATTCCGGAGAGTGGGATCAAGGTGCGTGCCGTGCGGGCGGTCCCCCTCGATGGCTGCTCGGAGATGGTGGGTCCACCGGAGAATGTCACCTCGATGGGAGCACCCGGTGTATCGGCGCGCTTTGCCGTCATCATAGCGAGGTGAGTGTTGCGTGGTTCTAGTTTCCTGCCTAAGATTGACGAGCTTAAATTTATGACAGATTTACCATTACCAATTTAAGGTACAATTGCTCGTTCGAGGATAAGGTTCGCAATGCGCAGAAAGCCGGTTACGTCGCCGTGATCGTACACAACGTTGGGAGCAACGATTTGGGTAAGTTGGGAAGGTGTGCACAATTTCGTTATTTACGACTGTTGAACAACTTTCGGTTGGGCGATTTTTCCCATGAATTGCCCCTGGAATTACGGGAACTCTTCGCAAAAGTCCGTCTAAATTATTCTAACACATTCTGAAGGTATTGCAAGATGTACCACCCATAGTTATACTCTGAGGTACCAAGCAATATAACATTGCTACAAAATTCCGCTACAAATCTTCTATACTTTTTTTTTTATTAAAGAGACTTTCAGCCTTGGGCTGGTTTGTCTCTGGGAATCCCAGATGGGGAATCCCCTATTTGAGGGGGGTGGCAATTCCAGAGGGAAATTACCCTAACAACATAGTTTGGATCCCAGAGGGGATTTCCGAAAAAGGGCGTGGGGCCCCGGAGACAGAGTTTTTAGCTACGGAGTTTTTAATTTGGTGGCCCTGGAAGGGAACCTCCGAGGGTGGGGTCCCTTAGTTGCTTAGTGGCTGTCTTAATTCTGTCATTTTGTTGGAGAATTCCGTTTTCGTTGCGTTGGTCTGTATAGTTGCTGATGTGGGTGGTTGGTTGTGAGATTCTGGTTCCGAGTGTGATCTGGTATGGTAGTGATGATGATGATGGTGAGTTAGGTGATCAGATTAGATCGAACAGCTCAGCTTCCCGCAGAAAAGCTAAAAGGGCTGTAATTCTGGTAGAATCGTTACCGAGGGCATCGCTGATGCTTCCCGGGATGTCGTAGCGGGTTCTTGGCGCTTCGTATTTCGGACAGTGGCAGATAATGTGATCCACCGTTTGAGGAATTCGGCATAGATCACAGATCCTATGGAAAGGTCCGTCTCCCTTGTAGTTGTGGGAGATGTTTGTATGATGTGTTCGGAGTCGGGATACTATGACCTGCTCTCGATGTATCGGTGGGTCCGCCCACCTGGAGATGTCTCTTTTAATTTTTCTGATGGCAGGGGTTTCACTGGCCGCCCAATCGCGAGCCCAACCTTCGTTGGTGATTTTTGATACCCATTTTTTGAGGTCCGGACCAGGTACAATTCGCGTGTACTTGGCCATACGACGACCTGAGTTGGCTAGTTGGTCCGCTTTTACGTTACCATGAACCCCGCAGTGTCCAGGTATCCACACAAAGACTGTGTTGTTTGGCGCGTGTTCCTGTATAGCCTGGATCCAAGGGTGTTTGCTCGTATCGGATTCCACACTAGCGGAGTCGGTCGGTCGTCGGGAATGGTGGCTGCAATGAAGGCGGAAATGGCTTCCGCAGAGAAAATGGGGCACTGATCCGGGAGTCTATGGCATTCCGCGAGGTTTGGACCGAAAATCCCGATTCCTACCTTTCCCTGGGCTACCGAGCCATCCGAGTACCGAATGGTGTATCCTCCGTATTTCCGGTTCTGGAGTTCGAGTACCGCTTGTGCCACCACTGAAGGATTGGCACCAGCTCTGAATTGGTGTTTGATTGTGTGGTCGGTCAGAATCTTCGGCATGTTCCAACCCCTCGCTCCGACCCAGTAAAGCTTGGATATCGGGGGGAGAGTCGGGTTGGATGCTTCCCTGAGTGAATTGTTCGCCTCCTGATGTCTGCTGGTAAAGTCCGATGACTCGTTGACAGATAGTTTTGGAGATTAAGCGATCAAAGGGGAGCAGTCCTCCTTCGATGCAAGCAGCTATTCCGGGGGTACCTGGCAAAAGACCCGAACAGATTCGGAGAGATTGTTGATAGACTGGCGCTAACTTTTCGATCAATCGGGGCTTGGCAAGGAACGTAGCTTCAATTCCGTAGGTAAGGCGTGAGTTGATGATGGCTTTCGCCACGTTCAGTCGGGATCTTCGGTTGGCATTTGGATGTCGTCCCGCTAGAGTTTTGAGCAGGTTCATACGCTGTTTGCATCCGTTTTTGACATCGTTGAAGTGTGTGTCGAAGGTGAGATGTCGGTCAAAGCAGACCCCGAGGATTCGGATCGTTTTCCGAAACGGAATTAGGTCTTCTTTGATGCAGACTTTGGTGCTGAGGACTTGGTGTTTTATCGGACAGATGTGGGTGAATCCGCTCTTAGTAGCGGATAGCTGGAAACCGGCCGACGAGGTCCATGCCGATACGTAGGTGACGGCCTGAATAAGCTTTCTTCGCAGTGCCTTCACCGTTTTCTTGACAGCCATTAGGCCGATGTCGTCCGCGTAGACGAAGATGAAGATTCCAACTGGTAACCGCGTGAAGACATCGTTCATCCGAATGAGGAAAAGGGTAACGGCGATCACGGAACCCTGTTTCCTCCTCGAATGTTTTGGATCGGCTGTTTCCAAGCGTGACTTGGAAGGTACGTTTGCACAAAAAGTTCTGGATGAATTTTAGGATGTGTCCCTTGAGTCCCCATTTCTTCAGCTGGTCAAGCACTCCCGGCATCCATGCCCGGTTGTATGCTTTGGATAGGTCGAGAGTGACCAGTTCTGCGTGAAGGTTTTTGGAAAATGTATCCTGAAGGGCCTCGCTTAGGGATCCGAAGTAGGTGCTGGTCCCGTGCCCCAATCATCTATACTAATCGTGGCCTTCAAACTTTCTTTAGAAAAACTTCCCTCGAAAGAACTTTGTAGCTCTTTGTATGAATTCACCAAAATGCTTCTGTGGCTCTGCTGGGTTACCTAGAACTGGGAACAAGATCAGTTCTCGTAGTCTGCTCTACAACTCCTCAAGCTGACTTTTGAAGTCCTCTAAACATACCACCCACAAGAACTAATACTGCCCATATTCGTCTCATCTCCTATGACTTGCCTCACAAGTTCTACAAATTTACCACACGATTCCTCAGAGATTTGGTCAACCGTGTTGTGTCTACTTCTACAATTCTTCTATTTGCTCCTCAAGTTATGTGAATATGCCCATCAATTCGTGTCCCATGTTCATGTGAACTCTCTCCTCAAGTTCTCTGAAACATTTCGACAGTGAGCATGCATAAGGGCGTATACGCGATGATTGATTCTCTTAATCGATTTTCTCTTTGCTTTGCTACAGTTAAGCGAAACAATTTTCTAGAATTTGTTCAATGAAGAGTTGTAACAGGTTTTGTATTGGCTATTAAAAGCAACAGCAAACGCACCGAGAAACGTTAATTTTAGCGAGTTATTAACAAAAGAGAAAATCGACGAAGAGAATCGATCATCGCGTTTACGCCCTTACGCATGCTCACTGTCGATTTCTTCTATATTTCGTTCACAAGCTATGTGGCTTATTTTCATAATCCCATTGAATTTCCTTTCGCACGCTACGAAATCTCTCGCGCGAAGGTACGTCTTCTTCTTCTTTCCTTTATGTAATGTCAGTCTCTGTTCCGCAATCGAGCGCCAATCACCGATGTGCGTCGATTGCCAATTGGTTATTGCCGTTTCAGGGAAAATAATTCGACGCAACTGACAGCCATCATCTGAAGCCAAATGCTAATTTTTCTCTGAATCGGCAATATTAATCAGCGACGGCAATCGCGTGCCAGGCTGGCACTAACCACACCTGGGACCTTTCGATAATCGAACCCATCTAAATATGAACAAGGACCAACGACAACTGTAGCCAATAGAAGCATCTTCAGCTATGGACTCCATTTTTTCACGAAATGTTATTCTACAGATCCCAGAAGCATTTGTTGCTTTTCCTATTTGTTGCTCGATTCCAGCTCGATGTGCTAATTTTCCACGAACCACTGCCTGAGTAGTTGCACCTGGTCAACGTCAACGCACAATGATTGGATTTCGATCAATCCAATCCAGTGCCGATTAAGGATGGCGCATCTCTGAACGCGCTGCGATTCCTTCTCTCAAGGTCTTCTAGGTCAGTTCTACTTAAAGTGGTCGGTCGGTCACTCGGCACAGTGTGCCGAAAACTGATTCGGCACAATTTGGGCACACTAATTGGCACCCATGTTCCGAAATTTACATGACATTTAAACAAAACTAGCAACACTGCAATATCACTATCATTGTTTACATTCCGGTCATCCGACTTGTAGGAAAATTATGAATTTATACGTCCCACAAAATCGCTTGTCATCGCGACCTACTTTCCCCGGTTCCCTGGCACTGGTTTCCCTTGCCGAGTTTTCATGTTGTTATGCTTCGTGCTACTATTGTCCTTCCTAGTGGCTGGTGCAATCCAGCAATTCCACCAGCAAGCAGCGCAAATTAAGGCCAAGTTTCAGAGCAATTCCAGTCTCTTGCTGCTTTAGATCCGTTTCTCAGTACACACACCAAACATTCGAACGGTCAGAAATACCGGGTTGCCAAACATACCAGAATATTAACACTCCGAATACGATGGGTTAAATACTTCTCGATGAATATTTCAAATGGTCCTATCTGCTTTGATCGATTCTCTTCATCGACTTTCTCTTTTGATAACCACTGCTATGCAAACAGATTTTCTCGACTTTCTCTTTCGTCAATTACTCAGCTGCAAAACCTTTCCCTGTTGTATTTGACATTTTGGACGCTAGATAAGAACCTCATTTATCAAACTATGGGGTAGAATTAGCGCGAAATCTGTTTGCATAGCAGTGGTTATGAAAAGAGAAAGTCGATGAAGAGAATAGATCAATGCAGATAGGACCTTTTGAAATTTTTATCTAGACTTTACGCCGACTACGAAGCCTCCGAAAAACGTGTAACAGCAAGTTTGCAATGACATAACTTGGCCATTTCTTGATGAATTTGAAAAAAAAATTGTACCTCTAGAATTCCTAGGCTCTGTAGATTATTTCAATTGCAGAAAGATTGAATATAGAGTCGTCTACTTTTTTCGAAAGTGAAAAGAATCGTTACACGTTTTTTTTTTTATTAAGGTGGGTTTATGGGTTTTGCAAGCGGCTTAAGGTCCTTAATTTAGATTAAAGAGCACAAGGGTTCATAGTTAGCCAGAATACAGTGATGGTTCCTATATATGAAACCTGGAGATAACGGAACGGTCCTCGAAAGATCCGGAACATCCGTAAAAGTGGTCTACCCATAAACCCCTGAT